TACTATAAAAAGAAAGAAATTAATTGGCCAACTAAAATATATAGAAAAAATTAGCCGGGCATGGTGGCACATGCCTGTAGTCCCAGCTATTCAGGAGGCTGAGGCAGGAGGATCACTTGAGCCCTGGAGTTTGAGGTTGCAGTGTGCTAGGCTGATGCCACGGCACTCACTCTAGCCTGGGCAGCAAAGTGAGACTCTGTCTCAAAAAAAAAAAAAAAAAATTATGTGTGCATTTGTACGATTAGATTTGAATCTGATCTTCATTAGATACTGAGTAGGGTCTGTGAGCAGAAGGTCTCAGGCCAGAGTGTTAAGACTACTGGGGTGACCAGAGAGGCACCCCTGAGACAGACACTAAACAAGAAGATTATGAAAAAGGACTAACATCTACTAAGAATAAAGTAGATCAAAGGTTAGGCACACAAAGGTGATAGTTTAGATTAGTTCCATGAGGGAAAGAATATAAAAAGACAAAAGCCTAGACTAGGCTATGGTAGGTAGTTTTATATAGTTAGAAGAAAAAGAACTAATTAGTGAAAGACTTGGAGAAAAACAAGGCAAACACAGCATCTAATGGAGAGGTGTTTATCTTGGAGACCAGTTAAGTGTTAAATTATATATTTAACATATATATTTATATATTATTAAACATTATATATTTAAATATATAATTTAACACTTAAAGATCATAAAAAATGAGAACTGAGAAAAGGTAATTAATTGGCTTAGCCTAGGGACTTGCCAGTGACTTTAAAGCAATTCTAGTGGTGTGTGAAACATAGAAACCGTATCACAAGGGGCTGATGGGTAAATAGTAGTTAGGGAAGGAAGGTAGCCTGAGTCAACCCCTGGCAACATAACAACAACAATAATAGTAATAATCATAATTGAAGTAATAGTACCTAACATTTTTGAGCACTTATATGTATCAGGCACTATGCATAGGTTTTTTCTTTTATAGTTGTATTTTTAAATTTAATCTTCACATAACCTTTCGAGGTGGTTTCTGTTATCTCCATTTTGGAATTAGCAAATGAAGGATTTGGGAGGTTAAGTAATTTGCTCAAGGTCACATAGTTAGCAAGTATGAAGACAAAATTTGAACCCAGGAAGCCTATCTTCTAAACCTTCATTCTTACCTTAGCACCACACTATTAAATATTAAAAATATTATATCTGCAGTACTGTAAAAGGAATGTAGAAGATTTCTGTGTTCTGCTATGACATTTTTAAAGAAAGAGAATGTTTTTGTGTAAGAAGTGGGGAGAATACAATTATATATAGACATTTTCTCATATAAAATGAAACACAGAAAAGGTAAATCAAAAACTAATTTTAAAAGTTACCTATAGGCAGAAGAAGGGAACAGGGATAGTAGACTTCTCTGACTATATCTTGTTATATTGTTTTAACTTTTGCATTATGTTAAATATTAGATCAGTTACATATGCAAGAAATAAAGATAAATCAAAGAAGAGAGAAAAAATAATTCCTAATATATTTGAAAACAAATGTACCAATCCTTATATCATGTTGGCAAGGTACCACACATAGATAATTTTTTCAAGTAATTTTAAAACATAGTATTTAGACCCCCCCTTGAAATTGCATATAAAATTTTATGTGGATAATACAATTTTAAGATAAAAAGAAATACAAAGAAATGTTAACTTTTATACTTCATCCAGATTATTGTTAATAGTACTATTAGTATAGCTACTTTGAAACTATTTTATGTATATTGTAGGATGAGACATTATGTTAATGTTAAAAACCAAGATCTTTTTTCATGAATTTTTTTTTCTTTTTAAAAGTACTTATTTCCACTGCGCCCAGCCCCCATTATTCTTTTTGATGCTCACATTTTCCCGTCTTTGGTCAGTGGAAACCCCATTATACTGTTTTTTGATTTTACCATGACTACAAAAATATTCAATAGCTTTGCTTTTTCTGGCATGATAAAAACGAATTTCCTGCCCCAAACCTGGAATCAGTCATTTCTCCAAGAAGACTTGGTTCTTTTCACTGGGGAATGCTATCTGGATGCCCAAGGTGCTTATTACCACTGGGTTGGCTCTGCTTCTAAGCCTTTAACTTACTGGTATTGAGCATAAATTGTCCAGTCTGTTGCATACCATGATTTTTGTAAAATACAGTAAAAATCAATTACCAGAAAGCAAAGTGGTAGGAGGGTGACAAACAAAATATAACCTTAAACCTTAAAAAGTTTTGTTATTAAAGTCAACAAAAATAAAATCACATTTCACTTCACAATCAGAACAAATGTAAACATAGGGAAAAAGAAGTTTTAAAAAATGGTATCCATTCATCAAAAATACACACATAAGCAATTAATACAGAGAATTGCTGTTACACTCATAAGTTTGTTCTGTAATTGTAATTAAATGAGGTTTTTAATGTGAAACATGAGTATGCTTTTGCTATGTTATCTTCAGGACCTTGTGCATTAAATTGAGCTTGGATTGATAACTGTGTTCCTCAGAGGAGATGATGTATAACCTAAACTAATTTTATTTGCAGCCACAGGTTTCTGGCTCAGTTACTTGTGTTACTGATTTCTCAGCAGATGGTACGGTTTTCAGGGATGCTTATACTGCAGAAATCATAAAGAACGGGGAAGATAATAGATACACTGGAATACTTGCTGAAATTTTCACTTACATAGTGAAAGTACCACCTCTCTATATGGTTTGTCTCTTAATCTCTGGAATTTGGGTGTTGTCATTTTTCTCACACTGTGTGTTACGTATTCACTGACATGTGATGGCTGTGGCTTTACGTGGTAATTTTAGGTTCAGATATACCATGCCTTTGTTTTTCAGACAGTACATTTCCTGATGCCAAGTTTCAAAGTTTTTCTTCCCCCTTGCCTGTGGTAGTGCCAATTTGGACTGATAGCTTTAAAAAACAATAACAATAGGCTGGTGCCGTGGCTCGCACCTGTAATCCGAGCACTCTGGGGGGCCGAGGCAGGAGGATTGCTCAGGAGTTCTAGGTTGCAGTGAGCTGTGACCCTGCCAGTGTACTCCAGCCTGGGTGACAGCGTGAGCCTATCTCTGGGTGGGGTGGCAGTGGGGAGGGGGGAAGGTGGCAAAGGCACATTGTCTACTTACCAGTTCTTCAGCATAATCTTTCTGATGGCAATTTGGACATTTTGATCAAAACTTCTACATATTCTTAAGTGATCCTTTCCTCGCCTTCAGAGTCATGGACAGCTGATTATGCAGGCTCTGTAAAGGCAAGGGGGTTATGCAATGAAGGGGAGGATGTCTCAGTTTCTGATATTAGCCAGTGTAGAAGAATAGACAAAATGTCTGCTTACATTTAAAGCCTATAATATGTAGAGTATGGCATATACTCCACATTTTTATAATACTGTTGATAGAAGAGTTTATGACACCATCCATGATAGACCTTAATCAGCTAAGTATGAAGTATTGTACCTATGATGTTTCGCGCATAGTGCTAAGCATTGTGGGGAGCACAGATGAGAATAATTATAGTCCCTGTCCTCAGGAAGCTTAAATGAAGATATCTTTAATTTTTCAAAATATGGTATGTTAGAGTTTGTGCTGTGTGCATGCACACACATATGTATTTATAATATGCATGCAGATAATTGCATGCAGTGTAAAAGCAAGGGGAAGTTGTGATGAACTGACTGTCTCAGTTTCTGATACTAGCGCATGTCAGTGTATGATGAGTGACAAGGAGTTCAGAGAAGAGAGGTTATTTCTACTTAAAGCAATGAGGGACTACTTAAGGGGAAGGTGACATTTGAGTAGGGTTTTAAAAGCATGGTTAGAATTTCAGCAGGAGTCTAGGAAAGATGCTTGATAATAAAAACTTCAGTCAAAGGTTCTAGTCCCAGATCAACTATTCACTCACCAATTGTATGAATTCAGCCAGATTACTTCAGCCTGTGATCTTCAGCTTTCTGATCTATAAAATGGGAATTGAGTATTAGTTCTCATAGAGCATTTAAGGAAGATTAAATCAGATACTACGATATGAACATGCTTTGTGTTGTGCAAATGTTAGTAAATTTTATAATAAATATTGGGAAGGGCATTGGCCATAGGCATGGAATTTAAAAGCCAGCAAATTAGTAAGCACTAGAGCAGAAAATGTGTGAAGATGACTGTGCCTATTGATTCACCAAACAGTTCCTTAGTTAGGAAAATTATCTTAAATAAAAAAAATTTTCAAGTCTTTGTGGTGATCCCTCTCTCCCTCAGAAGATAATTTCAGAGCCCTTTTAGAGCTTCAGATGATACTTGAATGAGTTGTAATGTTTATTTTTATTGAATTCATGTGCACAGTATATGTAGAATTAATATTCAGGTAAACTGCTTTAATGAAGATTATGACATTGCATAAGATAATGTACTTTGCAAAGTATATTTGTCTTAGCTTAGTGAAAATGACTGTCATGACAGTGTTTGATTTAGAGAACAAGTCAGCATGTTCTTGGGTGGATCAGAATTATTCCTTCCAACAGAACAGGGTGTGAATTATGTAAGCTACTTCCAGGTACCACATATCTTATGTTAAAAGTAGTTTGTATAATAATTGCATGAAAACAGTATTTCAGAAAAGATATCCTTTGTCTAATAAGATCTCAGCGAATTCACTAATGTTCTCTGTTTTATGTTTTATTTTAAAAGTATGGTTAGGAGCAATACTCAATATATTTTTCAACAAAAAGACAGAGGGAGTGCTTAGACATAAAAATATCATTTTGAGTTGTACTTTGAATATTGTGTGGCTTGCTGTTGTTTGGTCCTGGACTCTCACAATTTATTTGGACTCTAGTGAAATGTGATTGAAATTACTTCTCCAAAGGCAAGAACATATTATTTGAACACTAATCCTTATTCATTTAAAAAAAATTTTTTTGAAGGAAAAAAATTCCTGAATACTAATAGTGGATTTATTTTATTTTGGTGACTAAATCTAAATTCTCTCTTCTTTCATAGACTATCTTGCTAATCATGGCCGGTTAAATGAGTCTGAAGCCAGGCGAAAATTCTGGCAGATTCTGTCTGCTGTTGATTATTGTCATGGTCGGAAGATTGTGCACCGTGACCTCAAGGCTGAAAATCTCCTGCTGGATAACAACATGAATATTAAAATAGCAGGTAACTGGGACACAGCTGGCTCCAACGTGATGAGACGTGAGCCATTGCTCTCGGTCTGCAGAAACAGACCTGCAGGTGCACATTCAGGGGCATTTCCACCTGATAATGTCAGGCTTCCTCAAAGTGTATTTTACACGTTTCCTTAGTTCTGTGTGTAATTAAAAGTAAGGGAAATAAATTCATTATTAATGTACACTGGCAAGGCTACACCTGAGGTCTGATTCGTGTCCAGGTCCCTCGGGAGGGGCTCTGCTGGACGAGGTACATTGGCCTGCATGTGAGAGTGAGTGGAGGGAGGATGGGGCTGGGGGAGCAGTGTGGGTTGCCAGAGCTCTGGCCTGCTCTCCTAATTATGGCTGCTGGCTACAGTCAGAGAAAAGAATGAAGTGATGGAAGTAGAATGAGAAATATTTAGGACACAAAAGCACCTTGCCTTACTCTGATACAATAGGGTTTTGATTAATAACGTGGAAACTAAAGGTAGAGATTATTTTGCTTGTTTTCCTTCTACCCTTTCACAATTACAAAAATGTTTACATGTTAGATTCTGAGTTTCTTAATTCGCATAGTCAAAACTCTCATTCCCTTAATAAATATTTGTGTGTTAGGTACTCTGCTATGCCAAATATGATTTGTGGAAATCATTTCACAACATATATGTATATCAAAATATCACATTATACACATTGAATAAATGTTTTTTTGGTCAATCATGCTTTAATAAAACTAAAAAAATATGGTATAATAGTTGCCATAAAAAATGTATGTACAGGCTATAGTAGGAACATAGGTTAGGGGATATCTACCCAAGGGGACAGTATATCCAAGAAGTCAGGAAAGCTTCACAGAGGAGTTATTTGAATTTAGGCTGAAGAGATGAGTTAGAAACTTGCCAGGAAGACAAACAGAAGTAGGACGTTGCAGGCAGGTAGACAGAGATTGGAATAGTGGGAACTGTAGCTCAATATTGGTTAAATAAAACTCTGCGGATTATGGGGGATTGACACAGGAAGAGCAGGTAGGTAAAGACCAGAATATGAAGAGTCTTAAATGCCGTGTAAAAGATTCTAGAGTTTATTCTGTAGGTAATAGGGAGTCTAGCCTATTGAAAATTTTAGCAGTATATGTAACTTTAACACTTGAAGCTCCATAATATGCTAAAATAAAAAAAAAATAAAGAGATAAAAAAAAAATTTTAGGGCATGGTTGGGCATAAAGTGGAACTGGTTATGGTTAGATTTGCACATTGGAAGTATGTCTCTGGCAGCAAAGTTAAGATAGATAGGAGATGTGGGTGAGATTGAAGATTAATAAGGAATCTAATGCAGTAGCCTAATTAAGAAAATGTGGATCTGAACTAGAGCAGCAGCAGTAGAGGCTGAAGGTGTGGGAGGCAAGCAGATTTATTTTGGTTAGGGTTTTGAAGAAGATAAAGGGCACAGGTTAAAAGCTTAGCAGAGTTACAAGTGATGGTGTTTTTTTGTTTGTTTGTTTGTTTGTTTGTTTGTTTGTTTGTTTGTTTGTTTGTTTGTTTTTAATAGCAGCAGTGCTAAGTGGTGGTGTTTTGTTCTAGGATTGTTAAAGGGGAGCAGGGAGACATCCAGATGGGAGGAGTTGACCAAGAAATTGTTGGTTGACTGGCTAGGTTGGGTACTCAAAGTTAAAAGCCTCTGATTTGTACATTAAACTGATTTGTTTCTGTACCATTTTCTATTAGTTTTTGTCTGGGGCATTTTGGGGAAGCTAAATAATTTTTACTCATTTTGTTTTAAATGTCAGTATTATATATGTTACAGGATATGTAATGGATTTTCCATTCTGTAGTCTGATTTTACCCTAATGGGATTGCCTGGATGAGAGAAAGTGTTTTTTAAGTTAATTTGTTACACACACACACACACACACACACACACACACACACACACACACACAGCATTGATTTGTTATTTTTGTTGTGAAAATAGGATACACAGAATTGCAATGCTTTCATAGTTTTTTAAATATATGTTCACTTCTTCCATTTATGTTTTTTTCCCCTTTATCTTCTTCTTTTGGCCCATTTGGTCTCTTTCATTTCTCTCCTTTTTGCCAACCTTCTATAATGCACTTCACTGGAATTTTTTGTCTACTGTTCCTTAAAAGCATCAGCTGCCCTAGAAGTGTTTTTTGTTGGGTTGTTGTTTTTTTTTTTCTTTCCAGAGAAAGTCCTTTTTCTTCTTTTACAAAGTCCTTAGCTTTGTAGAAAGAAGGGGGAAACCCCTGCATCACTTTCATAGTCCCTTATTACCAAAACAAAAAATTCACAAAAACAATAGGTCAAAGGAGTTCCAGGAGTTTTCTGATGCAGAGAAAAATTAGAGCTGTGACTCATACGCTGTAGAAATTACAAAGCGCTGTCACTTAACCTCTCAGAAGAAAATGTCAAAGTAAGACACCAAAGAAACTTATAAACAGAAAACCCAGAATATTGCTTTAAGGTTATAACCAAGCTTTGCCTGGCTGTAGTGTGTCTATTATAATTCTGGCCTAAAATATGGGTGGGTCACATCAGTATTTCTAATGTCATTATGTGACATCTAGGTTTTTGTTTTGTTTTTACTGTTTTTATTTTTGGTTTTGAATATCTAAACTTCAAGGCCTTCGAATTATGTAGAAGATGGGTAAAATGTCAGATTCCTAAAGTTGTTTTCTCTGGTGAAGAGATAGTACAACAACTAACCTTTTTTTATTTGTGCCTTCACTATTTTCATTGTACTCTGCTAGGTATTTATATGATTTCATCTTCACAGCAACCTTGGGAGCTGCATAGCTTTTGCCAGTTTTTAGATAAGAAAGCTGAAAAGCAAAGAGATTGAATAACTTGATAAGGTGACTCAGATAATAAATAGCAGACCTGGAACTCAAACCTAGGTCTCGCTGACCACAATATCTGTGCTTCTTTCACTACATCATGTTGTAATTTCCAAGTATCATGTGTCAGTTCCTCCTCAAGGGGTGCTCACTAACTGAACTGTGGGTTCCGTCATTCTATATTTATACATTCAGTGTCCCTGCTTCCATTGCTCACAAATGGAGACCCACACGTGCACACACAGTATAGCTAAGCACTCAGATATTTTCTTGCCCACACTTTATCTTCTGCTATCCTCACTACCCTCAACCCCAAATTTTAGTGTTTATTAAACATCTATCTACTCTGGTCCTGAGCTAAGTCCTGGAAATTCACAAATTTCAAGACAAAAAACAGCAACAAAAAAACTTAACTCTGTTTTCACCTCAAGGAGTTAATCAAGTAAAGAACCAGACCTTTAAGTAAATATAACACAAAAAGTTCATTGTTTTCAAGGCCATGGAGGCTAGGAGAAAGACTAACTCTGCCTGGAAGAATCAGGGAAATTATTAGCTAAAACTTGATTAAGAAGGTATTTATGGTGGGATGGGGGTGGAGGGGCAAGATAGAGAAAGGTAGACGTAGGGGTCGGGGTGGCTTCTTCAAGCAAATGAATCAGTACGTGCAAAAGCAGAGAGGCCAGAGAGAACCTGGAATGTTGGGATGCAGGTCTTAGCCAGTACCATGTAAATGCCAGTGAGGAATGATAGGAAAAGAGCCTAGACAGGTGAGCAGGGGCCAGGTCATGAAGGATTTCACATGCCATATGAAGTTTAGGTGTGTTCCAATGTCTTTAAAGAATTTCTCCAGGATATTTTTTTATTCATAGATTTCATAACTTTTTGATGGCTCTGTTTTCTTTTAAGAACACTTTCTGATCTCTTTGAGAATTCTTGAATTTTAAAGAAATCTAACATGTGGGAAAGATGAGGCTCCATGAAAAGAAATTGCAAGGACCCAGAATAAAATATAAAATTGTCCCCTTAAATTATATATTTTTTATGTTGCTTTTACTGATAAAGATCTCTACTTTCTAAATAAGATGAATAAATGAACTGTTTTAACCATCTTGTATGTTGAAATTGAAAAGAAGCACAAACCAAAATGAGGTTTAAATATTAAATATTTTCATATTTATCTGTGTTATAAGACAGAAAGCGGAGTGTAAGTATCAGACATGGTTCATTTTAATAAATACAGAAACATGGCTTTGAGACCAGCTTCCAGTTTATGTTCCCCTAGTGGGTCAAACCTAATAAGCCATATAGTTTCACCCACACCTGTGTGTGCCCATTGCCTCAATCGTGGGACCTCCCACCTTTGTAAAATATGAGCACTGGGACATTCATAGTAAGAAGCTGAATGCAAAACAATATTGGTTTTCAGTAAATTTAGTAATTACAGTACTATTTCTCCTAGCTGTTTTGTCTCTGGTTATTCAGGCATTAAGTTGAGAATAAATAGGCTAGGCACGGTGGCTCACGCCTGTAATCCTAGCCCTCTGGAAGGCTGAGGCGGGCAGATAGCTCAAGGTTGAGAGTTCGAAATCAGCCTGAGCCCAAGAGCAAGACCCCATCTCTACTAAAAATAGAAAGAAATTAATTGGCCAACTAAAATATATATAGAAAAAATTAGCTGGGCATGGTGGCACATGCCTATAGTCCCAGCTACTCGGGAGGCTGAGGCAGGAGGATCGCTGGAGCCCAGGTGTTTGAGGTTGCTGTGAGTTAGGCTGATGCCACGGCACTCTAACCCAGGCAACAGAGTGAGACTCTGTCTCAAAAAAAAAAAAAAAAAGTTGAGACTGAATAGATGAATAACATTTAGTTTTATTCTCCAACTTTCCCAGTGTGAAATGTTCATAATAAATACTTAGATAAGGATTAAAATGTATGAATTACTTGAAGGAAGTTTTCAGAAAATAATCACAATCAAACAGGGAGAGTGCTGAATTTGGTAACAGTGCTGGTGCAATTTCTGGCTATGCCACTTAGAAGCTGTGACCTTGAGCTGATGATTTAACTTCTCTAGACCCAGGGTTCCATATCTATTAAATAGAGATTAATCTGTTTTTCAGGAAGAGATCGTGGGATTATTGATAATGCTAGAC